AAGAGTCACTTTTTGTAAAGTGTAAGGGATGTAAAAACATCCCTAAAAAAAAAAAAGCAAGATTGTATGACTATTCTTCAGCACAATTTAAGTCAAAAGCCCTTAATGTAAGTTGAAACAATGTCAGAGACCAAGAGACCCTGCTCATCAGTAGACTAGAGCCAGAAGTACAGGCTGCAAATAGAAATGCAGAAAATTGGTCTCTGCTTCATAAAAAGATTAGGTTTTAGAGGCCAATTTTTCCTGCATGGACCTGGGAAACCTTGGACAAAAGTGTCTTTTCCCGCTCATTCGCACACTGATTAGATTTTAGAGTGAAGTATCTCCTTAGTCATGCACCAGAAGCGGAAGCAGAAGTTTAGATTCAGAGCATCTTACTCAGATCTTGACCATACCCTGCAGTAGAAGTGACGCTGAACACCTCTGGTTGGCTGAGCAAACTCAAGAAGTTCCTGTAGGACAACCTCGTAACAGGTACGTGGAAGATGAAATCCAGATAGAGGGATCTTATGAGTTTGATCACCTTAAGGGGAGAAAGGGGTGCAGGAAAATAAAAACCACAAGAAGTTATGATAAGTTCTGTTTCCTTAAATGACAGAGTTCCCTCCTCCTTTGTGTCTTTTTATATACACATATGTATACACACAAACACACACACCTCCTCTTCTCCACAGAGAGTGCCTGTAGTTAAGCTATCAAAACCTTGCTGCAGTCAGCAGAAGACTGGCAGTTCTGGGCTGTGAGCAGACACACACACACACACACACACACACACACACTTACTTGCCCCTTTCAAAAGGCCATTATCTTAAGTATTTGACATAGGAAAACAGCCCGCATTTGTTCCCTCTGTACACAAGGGCAGGAAGTGTCTTGATAGAAACAAACTGGATTCTATAAACATTATCAAGAGTCACAAAGGGAAACAAGGCAGGCCAAGCCAGACACAACAATGGTATAAATACTTGAACTTGGCTGATAAATGTAAAGCTGCAAAATACAACTGTTAAATATAAACCAGTGTCGTTGAGTTAGCCTATTGTGAATTAGAACTTCATTCTGAAGATACACACAAGGACTAGCATGGGAGGGACACTCTGGTCGGATGGACTTGGAAGCATTTAAGGCCATACAAAGTTGTCCCATTTAAGAACAACATACTGCAGTTGCTATTGAATTAACATAGGAAAACAGAATACAAATAATTCTGCTATTGACAAAACCATTTTGAGTGAAGTGCTCTGCCATTTGTGAGCACAAGAAACATACAAAAGGTGACAGTGACAAGCCACTCCACCCCTCCTTTCTCTTTGAAATTTGAAAAGTCCCCAAAAGGAGAAACTGCAGATTTACAAAACATTTGGACACAGATCAGATAAGCTGAGTCTAAAACTGCACGCATTTGCATACCATTCTTTTTCACCATTGATACTCACTAGCAGACTGGCAGTGGTACCGAAAACCATATGGTGGTACTCCTGCAGAAGAGAGAAAAAGAACAATCATCATCCAGGATCCACAGTGACAGATCCTTAACTCCCAACTACACAACACAGTTTCATACACAGGAAAGAATAGTTTCAACTTCCCTTGTGGCCTTGTACAAGTGCCACAACTATTTTGGAAAAGGTTATTTTCAGTTATATGCATTTTTTTAAAAAACCACCAGATATTGTATGGTGTGTTTAGGTCCAATCATAAGAAACATTTGTTGACATGAAATATAAAGCCCAAACATCTGAAGGTCCTCCTGGGTTTATTCTACCCTCTTTGAAGTTTCATGCAGTTCTGACATCCCTTTCAGAAACAATCAATGCTGCTATGATATTTTAAGAAGTCAAAGTACTCGTAGTCAAAGAAATAACTGTCTTCATACCAGAAATCTAATCTGGGCAGCAGTGACATCAGAAAGCCTCCCTCTTAGTCCAAAGTAAGATAAACTGCTTCTTGTCTCACTTCCTTGACACTCACCTGGATCTATGAAGTGATGGAAATCAGCCGTTATGCCATCCTGCAGGGAGTACTTGACACAGCCAATCTCACAAGGAAGGAAGCGCTGCTCACAGTGGTGTGGCAGCTTGCCATGGCTGAAAATGTCCAGGAAGTAGAACACATCTGCAACCACATCTGAAAGAAAAAGAACAAAACCATTTTCAGACCAGCCGCCAGAAGCTACAACAAGCCATCCTGGCCTCACCTCATCCAGTGGAAGCCTTGGTACACTTTATCATATGAGTGGGTGAAGTAGGGCAATGACCAAGTAAAACATCCACATCTTTCTCTGTATCTGAGATAACAAGGTAACTAACACTTAGGCAAAAGTCAGGCATACTGGTAGTCCAGATACATCTTCCATACATGCTGCTGTGTGTAGAGATTGGGAAAAAAAACCCCAACAGATAAAAGCAATTAAAAAAAAAGCCAAACCCCAAACCCATGAGCATGTTAAGAGGCCTGGAATCCAACAGGAACTATTATTCTTTTTAATATAGGTCTCTTCACCCTTTAGGAAAAAAAAAAAAGTGCAAAGCAGCCTCACAAGATCAATTTAGTAACTTACACGAGTTAAATGAGCTGGTAGTAATCTTGTGGGGCTAGAGGATGAGAAGGCTGGTAATTAAAAGGATTGCTTCTCCTCTGCCAAATGAGCTCGCAAAGAAAGCGGCAAGAATACCCACAGCAAGTGTTAAGAAATAAATTTATCATTTACTAATTAAAAAAAGTATCCAACTATGAAAAATATGTCACAGTACACCTTAATCTCTTCATGATTGCCATGTAACATCAATGCTGAAGTTTAAGGCAGCTATTTAATACCTACTCTTCAGTTCTGCCCCTCATCAAAAAATCCTACTCGCTCTACTAGAGATGTAGAATTGGTTTTACAGAGAAGCAGTGTTGTATGCCAGACTTTATAAATTTAACACCAGTTATCCTAAGCTTGAATGCTGATGCTCCCTTACATGGGTCTTAAACGGTACAAGTTGTGGGGTCATTGGAAAGATACCTCTCCTACCTGAGTCTGAACTGCTTTCCTTCTGAAAAAAATGGATATAGCAACAGGGAACCATACAGAACTTGTACTGAGAAATATTAAGGAGCAGCATCGTAAAATGCATCTCAGTTATCCTTCATCATTGCCCATCTCATTCAGCTGGAAGATCAATTGTGTCAACTCAAGCCATCAGGATCAACCAATCAAATCTGCATCACAATGACAGGAGAGCAGAACCTCTGGTAGGGAGGATGCTAGCAAGTATTACACTTTTTATGGAGCTCTGTTTCCTGTCCCTACATAACCAAGACAACATGAAAATAGTTCAAGAGACTTATTAGCTAAAAGGCTTGAGTTGAGACTTAACTACACAGCAGATAAAGCTTCTATGAACTGGCTGCTTGACTTACCTTATAAGCACTACCTTTTATCATTTTTCATTATAGTGTAATATTCATTGGATAAAAGATTACAGATGTATTCATTACTCAACTCTAATGAAAACATCCATTTGAAGATGGGGCAACAGATAAGAAAGGTTTAGTATTCAAGAGTTCTTTCAATAAGGAAGCAAGCCCAGATGCTATAAAGGCACTGACAGAGTGCATATCCCCTCTCTTATTCTCCACAAGAAGCAAGGCAGTTGTTTTATTTAACATCTCTACCATCCAAACTTAGATATCTAACAACTCCTCACCCTTTAAAATTGGCATTCTTTTCTGCTGAACTTGGATTACTTGTCACTCACAAATGTGGGACTTGCAGAACTACGTTTTTCTTAAAAAACTTGAAATAACTGTTAAGAAACTACTAGTGGCTATACGCCCATCAAGCTAAAATGCAGAGGATAGAATTCTCAGGTAGGGGGAGGGCACTTGGCCTGTCCTCCCTCTATACTACCTTTTGACTGCAGTAGCCTAGTAGTTTAAAACAAGCAAACACTTGACAGAGACGACTATTAAGCAAAATGTGAACAGCCTTTGTGTAGGTACTACTGCGAGGATCCATAAAGGACAAGCTTTCATCTACCAGGATCAATTGCTTTAAGATTACCATACCCTGATCACTCTTCCAAGACAGAGCAGAGGCAACTGGCAAAGAAGCTACATCAGGCATCTCTGTGGGCAGAGGAACAGGATCTGGATGAGCCAGATTACATGTCTGGAAAAGATGACAAAGTTAAAAAAAGTAAAAAGTCTTCTCACTTCCATATATCAAAGGAAAACATAATATCCACTAACAGTTATCGTTAGGTGAAACATGTCTGCAGTTTACATAAAAGTGCCTGTATACCTGCAGGCCAGGAAGGCAAGACTTCACTTCTAACATAGAAAGGTACCTTAATACCTTGGTCAACTCACTACATTATAGAACTACAGCTAGATTTACAAAATGTAATTTAAAAAATAAGTATTTTCTTATGTTCAACTACTTGTCACAGACAAGGAATTCTTCAAACTGGAATTTAATTTTTTTCCATTAGCTTTATGAAAAAGTTTGGCACATTCCTTTGACTAGGAAGCAAATTCATGAAAAGCTGATAAAGCCTCAAGGAAGTCACTGGACTGCTCTGGCACAGAGCAAGAAAAAGGGGCACGGATGTCCATTAAGCATTGAAAATCCATTCATGAACAATAAGCTTTTAATAAGACAGGAAGAGAAACCAGGCAGGCTTACAGAATTTAATCATTCAATACCCAAATTAGTAATAGCATCCAAATCCATGTACACTGATTCCAGATAACCATCTTAGCCAAAGTTCATTGGTTATCAGTTTGAACTATTTAAAAAAAGACGAGGAATTATTCTCATCTAAGTAAGCTTTGGTCACCTCCAAAAAATGAACAGGACCTTTCACTACATAAAATAACTGTTTGTCTGTGTATAAAGGTGTGATTAATAAACTGAGATCACATATAATCTCATACATACACATGTCCCTATTTCCACTGACAGGCAGTGAGGATGGTGCTCATGGTTTTGGTAAAGCATTTAGTCCTTTCCCTGATTACAGCCTTCCAAAATGCTACGACTTGTGGAAGGAAAGACAGAAGCCTCCATTTATGATTTAGCTGTCACTTCACTTAGTTCTCTAGGATATAGAAAAATGGAGTTTCATTAATTGCATAACCCCTAGCCTGCAAAATAACACAATGATGATCACATTTTAAACATTTTTTTGCAAACAGGCAGACCCCCAAAATCAGAAAACATTGCCTAATATCTCCCTACTAGTCTAGATTGCCTAATTTAATTAATCCAGATTAGCTACTCCAAACTACAACCATTCTCTCATTCTATCATCATGTGTTTTCAAGTCCTGAAATTTATCCTCACCAACTAATTCATAGTTCAGAGTCATTATCTAGTAATAAAGCACGAAAAAGTAAACGCAGTACTATCTATTTACTCAATCAGGCTCTTGCCTTTGACACGCAAGTGTCTACACCGTAACCCAGACTAGAATAAAATAAGCTTTCTGATACCTCACATAACTCAATATCTGAAAAGAACTCGGCTTCAGCAACTGCTGGGAGAGGAAAAGAGATAGAAGAAAACAAACCGAAGGGGGGCACACACGTTTTCCATACAGTAAATAGGAGAAGTGACCTGTTTAACACTATTTCCAATGACAGGTTTTAACCTACCTGCTTACTTCTATATTGTCCTCCACCATAGCATTATCACCCTCTCCATAATCAAACCAACCAAAAAATAATGGCAAGTTCTAATTATTCTTTCTGAGCATAGGCTGCAACATTTCATTGACCTGTTTCACCACACAGCCATTGAAGAACAGCAAATCAGCTGAGTATTAGATGTGATTTCAGGTCATCAGACAACAACCACCTTAATGACACCCATGAAGCAAAACCAACATGAGCCTACGATGAGAAATCACACCAGTTTACAGAGTAAATTAAAAAAGTATTGTTTAGTAAGCGCTGCAAAATACTGTTAAACACAAAACTGAAATGTCAGAGAACTACATTTTAGTTGGCAAGAGAGCCTAAAGGAACAAGCTGTGGTGGCTTAAAAAGGTATTCTCACCTTCAATTCAAACCAGAATAATTATCTGCATAACCTTCACAATGGTATCAACTACTACAGCAGCCATAACTTTCAGCAGGTGGGGACTATGGAGAGCAGGTGATCTTCCACAGCATCAGAACTGACCAAGCCCCAACACCACTTAATCCCCCTCTTACACAGCTGCACTGAAGTGTGTTCCATTCTCAGCATTTACCTCTTTCACTGCCTCCTGACAGCCCTTCTTTGCATTCCACTTACGAGCCTTCTCTGCGTACTGTCTCCTTTCTTCCTCAGTCAGCAACTTGAAGGAAAACAAACTGCTATTAAAGAGCTTTTCACCATTTCCTTATAGCGGTCCCACAGACCAACAACCTCCACCTGAGAAATTACTTCTGCCTTTCCAAAGGACAATATCCAATCCTAACATCCCTACTGGTTTTCTCCCTAACCAAGCCCTAAGTTTTGATTCCAAACCCCCATTACCCAATCCAAACATCTAGCTTTCTCCCTAACCAAGCCCTAAATTTTGATTCCAAACCCCCAGTAACCACATGCTTTTGCAGGATCTCCAGACGAGGGCAAACCAGAGACCTTCTGAAACCAGCAGGAGTAGTCCTGCCAGCCACCCACGCCACTACCCACGGCACACAAGCTGCCCAGGAGGGGAGGATGGCACACTTCGCGTTTCTTAGAGCCACCTGAGACCACTCGAGGTGACCACTGGAAAGGCTAGACATACTAACGCTGTGCCACCGGCTACTTTACCCTCCCAGAACGGCCGCGCTGACACCACCCACGTGCGGTCTGCACACAGGTGGCGGCCGGAGCAGCACAGCGCGGCTCCTTCCCTGCTCCTTCCC